GCTCTCCCGGCTCCCGGCCCCAGGCTCTCCGGCCCCTGGCCCCCGGCTCTCCTGGCCCCAGGCTCTCCGGCCCCCGGCTCTCCCGGCCCCAGGCTCTCCGGCCCCCAGCTCTCTGGCCCCCGGCTCTCCGGCCCCCGGCTTTCCTGGCCCCCGGCCCCTGGCTCTCCCGGCTCTCGGCTCTCCCGGCTCCCGGCCCCAGGCTCTCCGGCCCCTGGCCCCCGGCTCTCCGGCCCCTGGCCCCCGGCTCTCCCGGCCCCTGGCCCCCGGCTCTCCGGCCCCCGGCTCTCCCGGCCCCCGGCTCTCCCGGCCCCCGGCCCCCGGATCTGCCGGCCCCCGGCTCTCCCGGCTCCGGCTCTCCCGGCCCCCGGCCCTACCAATCCCGGGCCCCGGCTCTCCCGGCTCCCAGCCCCTGGCTCTCCCGGCTCCCGGCTCTCCCGGCTCCGGCTCTCCCGGCCCCCAGCCCCCCGGCTCTCCCGGCCCCTGGCCCCCGGCTCTCCGGCCCCCAGCTCTCCCGGCCCCGGCACCCGGCTCCCGGCTCTCCGGCCCCCGGCCCCCGGCTCTCCCGGCCCCTGGCCCCCGGCTCTCCGGCCCCCGGCCCCAGGCTCTCCTGGCCCCCGGCCCCCGGCTCTCCCGGCCCCTGGCCCCCGGCTCTCCGGCCCCCGGCCCCAGGCTCTCCTGGCCCCCGGCCCCCGGCTCTGCCGGCCCCAGGCTCTCCCGGCCCCCGGCCCCCGGCTCTCCCGGACCTTGGCCCCCGGCTCTCCTGGCCCCAGGCTCTCCGGCTCTGCCGGCCCCCGGCTCTCCCGGCCCCTGGCCCCCGGCTCTCCCGGCCCCTGGCCCCCGGCTCTCCCGGCCCCTGGCCCCCGGCTCTCCCGGCCCCAGGCTCTCCGGCCCCCAGCTCTCCCGGCCCCGGCACCCGGCTCTCCGGCCCCCGGCTCTCCGGCCCCCGGCTTTCCTGGCCCCCGGCCCCTGGCTCTCCCGGCTCTCGGCTCTCCCGGCTCCCGGCCCCAGGCTCTCCGGCCCCTGGCCCCCCGGCTCTCCCGGCCCCTGGCCCCCGGCTCTCCGGCCCCCGGCTCTCCCGGCCCCCAGCTCTCCCAACCCCCGGCCACCGGCTCTCCCGGCCCCCGGCCCCCGGCTCTCCCGGCCCCCAGCCCCTGGCTCTCCCGGCCCTGGCCCCCGGCTCTCCGGCCCCCGGCTCTCCCGGCCCCCGGCCCCCGGCTCTCCCGGCCCCCGGCCCCCGGCTCTCCCAGCCCCCGGCCCCCGGCTCTGCCGGCCCCCGGCTCTCCCGGCCTTCCCGCTCCCGGCCCCCGGCTCCCGGCCCTCAGCTCTCTGGCCCCCGGCTCTCCGGCCCCGGACTCCCAGCCCCAGGCTCTCCCGGCCCCCGGCCCCCGGCTCTCCCGGACCCTGACCCCCGGCTCTCCCGGCCCCTGGCTCCCGGCTCTCCCGGCTCCCGGCCCCAGGCTCTCCGGCCCCTGGCCCCCGGCTCTCCTGGCCCCAGGCTCTCCGGCCCCCGGCTCTCCCGGCCCCAGGCTCTCCGGCCCCCAGCTCTCTGGCCCCCGGCTCTCCGGCCCCCGGCTTTCCTGGCCCCCGGCCCCTGGCTCTCCCGGCTCTCGGCTCTCCCGGCTCCCGGCCCCAGGCTCTCCGGCCCCTGGCCCCCGGCTCTCCGGCCCCTGGCCCCCGGCTCTCCCGGCCCCTGGCCCCCGGCTCTCCGGCCCCCGGCTCTCCCGGCCCCCGGCTCTCCCGGCCCCCGGCCCCCGGATCTGCCGGCCCCCGGCTCTCCCGGCTCCGGCTCTCCCGGCCCCCGGCCCTACCAACCCCGGGCCCCGGCTCTCCCGGCTCCCAGCCCCTGGCTCTCCCGGCTCCCGGCTCTCCCGGCTCCGGCTCTCCCGGCCCCCAGCCCCCCGGCTCTCCCGGCCCCTGGCCCCCGGCTCTCCGGCCCCCAGCTCTCCCGGCCCCGGCACCCGGCTCCCGGCTCTCCGGCCCCCGGCCCCCGGCTCTCCCGGCCCCTGGCCCCCGGCTCTCCGGCCCCCGGCCCCAGGCTCTCCTGGCCCCCGGCCCCCGGCTCTCCCGGCCCCTGGCCCCCGGCTCTCCGGCCCCCGGCCCCAGGCTCTCCTGGCCCCCGGCCCCCGGCTCTGCCGGCCCCAGGCTCTCCCGGCCCCCGGCCCCCGGCTCTCCCGGACCTTGGCCCCCGGCTCTCCTGGCCCCAGGCTCTCCGGCTCTGCCGGCCCCCGGCTCTCCCGGCCCCTGGCCCCCGGCTCTCCCGGCCCCTGGCCCCCGGCTCTCCCGGCCCCTGGCCCCCGGCTCTCCCGGCCCCAGGCTCTCCGGCCCCCAGCTCTCCCGGCCCCGGCACCCGGCTCTCCGGCCCCCGGCTCTCCGGCCCCCGGCTTTCCTGGCCCCCGGCCCCTGGCTCTCCCGGCTCTCGGCTCTCCCGGCTCCCGGCCCCAGGCTCTCCGGCCCCTGGCCCCCGGCTCTCCCGGCCCCTGGCCCCCGGCTCTCCGGCCCCCGGCTCTCCCGGCCCCCAGCTCTCCCAACCCCCGGCCACCGGCTCTCCCGGCCCCCGGCCCCCGGCTCTCCCGGCCCCCAGCCCCTGGCTCTCCCGGCCCTGGCCCCCGGCTCTCCGGCCCCCGGCTCTCCCGGCCCCAGGCTCTCCGGCCCCCGGCTCTCCCGGCCCCCAGCCCCCGGCTCTCCCGGCCCCCAGCCCCCGGCTCTCCCGGCCCCCGGCCCCCGGCTCTCCGGCCCCCGGCTCTCCCGGCCCCCGGCCCCCGGCTCTCCGGCCCCCGGCTCTCCCAGCCCCCGGCCCCCGGCTCTGCCGGCCCCCGGCCCCATGCTCTCCGGCCCTGGCCCCTGGCTCTCCCGGCCCTGGCCCCCGGCTCTCCGGGCCCCGGCTCTGCCGGCCCCTGGCTCTCCCGGCCTCCGGCCCCCGCAGCCCCCGGCCCCCGGCTCTCCCGGCTCCGGCTCTCCCGGCCCCCAGCCCCTGGCTCTCCCGGCCCCCGGCCCCCGGCCCCCGGCTCTCCGGCCCCCGGCCCCCGGCCCCGGCTCTCCCGGCCCCCGGCTCTCCCGGCTCCGGCTCTCCGGCCCCCGGCCCCCGGCCCCCGGCCCCCGGCTCTCCCGGCTCCGGCTCTGCCGGCCCCCGGCCCCCGGCTCTCCCGGCCCCGGCTCTCCCGGCCCCCGGCCCCCGGCTCTCCCGGCCCCCGGCCACCGGCTCTCCCGGCCCCAGCCCTCCCGGCCCCCGGCCCTCCCGTCTCTCGGCCCCCGGCTCTCCCGGCCCCGGCTCTCCTGGCCTCCGGCCCCCGCAGCCCCCGGCCCCCGGCTCTCCCGGCCCCGGGCTCTCCCGGCCCCCGGCTCTCCCGGCCCCCGGCCCCCGGCTCTGCCGGCCCCCGGCTCTCCCGGCTCCGGCTCTCCCGGCCCCCGGCCCTACCAACCCCGGGCCCCGGCTCTCCCGGCTCCCAGCCCCTGGCTCTCCCGGCTCCCGGCTCTCCCGGCCCCTGGCCCCCGGCTCTCCTGGCCCCAGGCTCTCCAGCCCCCAGCTCTCCCGGCCCCTGGCCCCCGGCTCTCCGGCCCCCGGCTCTCCCGGCCCCCGGCTCTCCCGGCTCCCGGCCCCAGGCTCTCCGGCCCCCGGGTCTCTCGGCCCCCGGCTCTCCCGGCCCCTGGCCCCCGGCTCTCCGGCCCCCGGCTCTCCCGGCCCCCGGCCCCCGGCTCTCCCGGCCCCCGGCCCCCGGCTCTCCCGGCCCCCGGCCCCCGGCTCTCCCAGCCCCCGGCCCCCGGCTCTGCCGGCCCCCAGCTCTCCCGGCCCCGGCACCCGGCTCTCCGGCCCCCGGCTTTCCTGGCCCCCGGCCCCTGGCTCTCCCGGCTCTCGGCTCTCCCGGCTCCCGGCCCCCGGCTCTCCCGGCCCCCGGCTCTCCCGGCCCCCGGCCCCCGGCTCTGCCGGCCCCGGCTCTACCGGCCTCCGGCCCCCGCAGCCCCCGGCCCCCGGCTCTCCCGGCTCCGGCTCTCCCGGCCCCCAGCCCCCGGCTCTACCGGCCTCCGGCCCCCGCAGCCCCCGGCCCCCGGCTCTCCCGGCCCCGGCTCTCCCGGCCCCCGGCCCCCGGCTCTCCCGGCCCCGGCCCCCGGCCCCAGCTCTCCTCTCTCCGGGCTCTCCCGGCCCCGGCCCCGGCTCTCCAGGCCCCCGGCTCTCCCGGCCCCCGGCCCCCGGCCCCAGCTCTCCTCTCTCCGGGCTCTCCCGGCCCCCGGCCCCCGGCCCCAGCTCTCCTCTCTCCGGGCTCTCCCGGCCCCGGCCCCGGCTCTCCCGGCCCCCGGCTCTCCCGGCCCCCGGCCCCCGGCCCCGGCCCCAGCTCTCCTCTCTCCGGGCTCTCCCGGCCCCGGCCCCGGCTCTCCCGGCCCCCGGCTCTCCCGCCCCCCGGCCAGGATCAGCCCCCTCGCTGACGGACCGATAACCAGCGTGGCTTCCAGCCTGGTGACCCGGAGGCTCAGGCCCTCAGTGGCCTTAGAGCTTCCTGGGCGACAGTGAGGTGAGTCTGGCCGGCCGCTCAGGGGCTGGGGGTCAGGGTTCGATTCCCGTCGGGGCCCAGGCCCAGGCGGTGAGCGCTCTCCCCAGCAGGGGGCGTGCAGGAGGCAGCCGTGGATGCTTCTCCCTCATCCTGGCTGTTTCTCTCTCCCCTCTCCCTTCCCCTCTAAACTCCATAGACAATTCAAGGGGAAAATCTCATAAAGGAAGGAAGTGGACAATGAAGACAGAAATATTCTGATGTGAAGATCTATGATATCAGAACGGACGGAAGGCGTGCAATCAAACTAGGAATAAAGGAGCCTGTTTGGATTTTTTATTTTTATTTTCAGACACAGAAAATGTTCATCATAAACAATTGAAATTCAAATCTTCAGGCGACTTAAAACTTAGAGGGTTCTCATCCAAACATTTTCCTCTAGAAATTACGTTTCTCGGAGGATTTTACGATGTGTTGAAATATGGTTTTTACTTCTGCCATTCACATTTTAAAGGATTCTTAATATGCCCTCCTGAGAGAGGGGGGGAGAGAGAGAGAGAGAGAGAGAGAGAGAGAGAGAGAGAGAGAGAGAGAGAGAGAGAGAATTAAAACAAGCATCATTTCTGCTTAAATATGCATTACAATCTCAGCCCTTTGATGCTTCACATAATTAGTCATTGCTTTGACTGGGTTTTCATAAAGCATAGAAGCCCACTTTAAAAAATGCCACCAGTTTATTTTTTATTTTTTATAAACTCAGCGTCGCTTAACTAATTCCCACCATTTCCTCCCATTTTTTTCTGTTGTTTGCTTATTTTTCCTCTTAGGGATTAGAAAGCTAAGATATTTAAACAGCATATACAAAATCTTAAGACATTTAAAGATGATATTTAAGATATTTAAACAGCATATACAAAATCTTAAGACATTTAAAGATGATATTTAAGATATTTAAACAGCATATACAAAATCTTAAGACATTTAAAGATATTTAAACAGCACATACACAATTTTAAGACATTTAAAGATGATATCTAAGATATTTAAACAGCATATACAGCCAAGACTGGTTTGGCTCAATGGATAGAGCGTCGGCTTGGGGACTGAAGGGTCCCGGGTTCGATTCCAGTCGGGGGCATGGACCTTGGTTGCGGGCACATCCCCAGTGGGGGGTGTGCAAAAGGCGGCTGATCGAGGACTCTCTCTCATCGATGTTTCTAACTCTCTCTCTCTCTCTCTCTTCCTCTCTGTACAAAATCAATAAAATATTTTTTTAAAAAAATAAATAAATAAATAAACAGCATATACAAAAGAGACGCCGTCATCTATTTCTCTCACATCGATATTTCTCTTTCCCTCTCTCTCCCCCACTCTCTCTAAAATCAACGGGGGAAATACCCTCGGGATTAACAGAACGAAAGGGGGAGGGAGCGGTGATCGCTCCCCTTGGTGATGAACATAAAGTGCACATGTTGTATGATAGAGACTGGCCAGCCGGCGAATCTCCTGGCCGAGAACAGGAGGGAAAACAGAAGCCAGCGGGAGGGGCGAGCCGAGTACCTGCGCCTGGGGACACATCTGGGGTATGTCAGCCGCCCGCTGTCGCACGGCACTCTGAGCTCCACGGCGAACTCCGACACCTCCGTCAGGTAGGAGTTCCTCCTGCAGACAAATTCTACGTACTCGCCGTGCAGAACGAGGAGCCTGTTGTCAAAGCGCCATTTCAGAAGCAAGTTGTTCCTGTCCATTTCATCCAAGGATAACTTGCAGGGCTCTGGGGGGGAAAGAAAGAGAGAGAGAGAGAGAGAGAGAGAGAGAGAGAGAGAGAGAGAGAGAGAGAGAGAGAGAGAGAGAGAGAGAGAGAGAGGAGAGGAAGGAAGAGAGAAAGGGAGAGAGAAAGGGAGAGAGAGAGAGAGAGAGAGAGAGAGAGAGAGAGAGAGAGAGAGAGAGAGAGAGAGAGAGAGAGAGAGAGAGAGAGAGAGAGAGAGAGAGAGAGAGAGAGAAAGAGAGAGAGAGAGAGAGAAAGAGAGAGAAAGGGAAAGAGAGAGAGAGAGAGAAAGGGAAAGAGAGAGAGAGAGAGAAAGGGAAAGAGAGAGAGAGAGAGAGAGAAAGGGAAAGAGAGAAAGAAAGGAAGAGAGAGAGGAGGAGAAGAAGAGAGAAGGAGAGGAGGAGAGGAGGAGAGAGAGAGAGGGAGAGAGGGAGAAAGAAAGAAGGGGGGGTGGGAAACAGCCCTGGCATTAGGATCGCATTCTATGGGCAACAACCGAAGGGGGCAGGTGAGTCTCATTTTATTGCAGGCAACAGCCCTGGGGAGGATGATCTCATCCTATTGGGGCCAACAGCCCTAGGCAATGGGGCCTCATTTTATTGCGGGCAATGGGGTCTCGTTTCATTGCGGGCAATGGGGCCTCATTTTATTGCGGGCAATGGGGTCTCGTTTCATTGCGGGCAATGGGGTCTCGTTTCATTGCGGGCAATGGGGTCTCGTTTCATTGCGGGCAATGGGGTCTCGTTTCATTGCGGGCAATGGGGTCTCGTTTTATTGCGGGCAATGGGGTCTCGTTTTATTGCGGGCATATATAAGGAAACCCCTTGTTATGCCGTGGTTATATTCGTGTGATTTATATTCGTAGGACTTAAAACAGTGCGAGAATCACGATTTGTGTGACTTAAACTAGGAGTGGAAGCATTTGTTTTTACGAGTGACCCATAGGTTAAGTGTGAATTGTATTTCTGATCTGACTTTATTTTAAGTAAAAGAAATCATTTTTGAGATATGTTTAAGGCTTCGTAGAGGTACCTTAAGTCCTACAAAATGGATCCAAGTCCCACTTTATTATCTAGGCAGATAATAAATTAATTGGGGCCGTCATCGGGACACCCCCAATAAGGAGTTCCTGTTGCCCAGAGCTGTTGGCCCCAATATAACGGCACTCACCTGTCAGGGCTGTGGCCCCAATAGGAGACGCCATATTGCTCAGGGCTCGCAGCCCCATAGAATGAGCCTCAATTGCCAGGG